GAATATTTCTCTCCTTTTCCTTCCTCTGCTTCTTGGACAAGATGCTTTACCTACAAGTGGGCTGCTGCTTGGTTGAGGTTGCAGTACCACTGGAGTCAGTTAGCAGCCAGCTTCTTCCAGCTCTTGATGTCAGTGTCCATTTTCTTGAGGTGTGCCTTCAATGTGTCCTTGTAGCATTTCCTGTGGCCACTGTGAGATTTCAGACCACACACCTAAGCTGGGAAAAGAGCACTTTTTGGGGGGAATCAAAAGTTGGGCGTCCACATACAATGTCTGACTCAATACTGGTAACGCTCACTTCAGCAAGGATGCTGGTGTTTGTAAAGCAATCTTGCCATTTGATGTGGAAGATTTTGGGAGGCATCATTGGTGCGGCATCTCTAGGCTCTTGAGATGACAGTGATAGGTCTCCCATATTTCACGTCCATAGAGGAGAATGGAGATGATGGATGCATTGTAGCCCAAACATAAGGATGAGGCATCTAATCATCCTCTGGAATATGGGGGTGGCAAGATAGTACAGTTCAAGAGACCAGAAAAGGGACAGAAACACAGCTTGTCCTAATCATGATATTATGTATAATCAGACACTAAGTTTCAGCTAGACTTTATTTAGGCTGCATCCTTTCTTAAGATAAAAATATATAGCATGAAAATAATTAACTTAAATCTTATCTGTAATGAAAATAATCTTGAAACCACAGGTGCAAATTGCAGACACCAATTACATTATCTTAACTGGTTGCATTTTATCAATTAAGATTTGGGTTCATACTGGCTTTTATTGTATTTTCAATATCTGCTTTTGAGGTTAAAAATCTCAACTTCGGTACTTTGTAAGGGAAGATTGAGAAACTCCCACATATAATCCTACCCAGCACTTTGGTTGTTTGCACGGTGATTTGCATCCTTAAAATACAATAGCTAATGATGTGTAATTATCTGAAAAGAAAGGTACATGTTTCAGTGTGCCATGCATGAGCTGTCTGGTCAATTTTATTAATTTCAAAATATTGCTGAAAAGTGAAAAGGTGCCAATTACAGTCCTTCTTCCCTGACAGCCCATCCAACTCCACAGTTCATCAAAATAAAGCAACTATCCCTTTATAAGACATAATTGTTACCCCTCAGTTTTGGGGAATTTCGCAGGGCACCTCGGTGCCCTGCTCCTAGAGAGGGGAAACTGCCACTGAAAGAGCCCTGGCAGGGAATAAGGAGCACAGCTGTGGATTGCCCGGGGCAACCAGGAGGTCAGCTGACAGGAAGGGGCAGGGCCTGGCCCTCAAAGCCCAGGGGCTGAGGCCAGACTGGCCTGCCAGCAGCCAGAGAGGCAGGAGCTCCTGAAGTAAAGAGGCGAGAAGCAGCCTGACCACAGGTACAGCTTCAGCTAAGTAAGGATGGCAGCTCTGGGATGTTGGAGCAATGTTGTTATAGCCAGGTGGCTTATGGTTAAGTTGTAGCCAAGAGGCTTGTGTTTTGCTTTGTTGTTAAACAGGTCACTTGGGCAAGGCTATTAGGGGTTGGAGGAGGCCTCATAGGGACCCACAGTGGTGTGGGGGCCCCAGCGCCAGTGAGGGCGCAGCATCCTCATAGGGACCCACAGTAGCGTGGGGACCCCAGTGCCAGTAAGGGCACGGTGTACAGGGTGCATAGGCCCCAGCCCCAGAGAGGGGGCGGTTGAGAAGCCCCAGTGCGGGTGTGGCAAGCCCCAGAGAGGGGGTACTACTGAGAAGCCCCAGTGCGGGCATGGCGAGCCCCTGAGGAAGGGCATAGCACTGTGGTAAACCTCGGAGATGGGCATAGCATTGCAGTAAACCCCGGAGAGAGGGGGTAGCAGTGCGGTGAGCCCCGGAGAAAGGGGGTAGCAGTGCGGTGGGCCCGAGAGACAGGTGGCTTGACCGAGAAGTCCCAGAGTGGGCACAGAAGGCCCCAGGAGAGGGGCGGCTTGACCGAGAAGGCCCCAGGAGAGGGGCGGCTTGACCAAGAAGGCCCGAGAGAAGGGCGGCTTGACCGAGAAGGCCCAGAGTGGGCACAGAAGGCCCCAGGAGAGGGGCGACATTACAGAGAAGGCCCAGAGTGGGCACAGAGAGCCCTAGGAAAGGGGCAGCATTATAAAGAAGGCCCAGTGCTGGCACAGAGAGCCCCAGGAAAGGGGCGGCATTAGAGAGAGAGAGCCCCAAGAGAGGGGTGGTATTCTTGAGAAGGCCCAGAGTGGGCACGGAGAGCCCCAGAGAGAGGGCGGCAGTACCGAGAAGGCCCAGAGTGGGCATAGAGAGCCCCAGGAGGGGGCGGCAGTACAGAGAAGGCCCGGAGAGAGGGCAGCAGTACAGAGAAGGCCCGGAGAGAGGGGCGTGAGAGTAGACCGAGGGACCGAACAACATCTAGCCCAACTGCGAGGCTTGGGGTGTGGTATAAGGGGTGGTTGGAGCCACGCATAGCCCATAAGGCTAGGGTGCCCGGGAAGCACCCATCATACAGTGAGACCCACGGAGAGTCCGGGAAACCACGGGGACGGAGGTCCCAACGAACCGTGTCCGAGAGGGCATAAGGCAGCCTCCCAAACTTATATAAACTTCAAAGACGTGGTGGGCAAGAATTGGAGGGTGCCCTTGGACCGGCTTGGCACGGGGGAAGGGGCCTTCAGGAGATCACGGCCCTCCTGGAGGACCCCCGCCCGTGACAGGGAAGCGTCAATATCCAAGTTGATGGGAGACTATTTTCCATCAGTTCATCTTTTAAGAAGATCCTTAAATAAGATCATCTATTCTAGATTAACCTTTGGTCTATTCAGATTTTTACATTACTGGCTAGTCAATATATCCAGCTCCTCCATACCTTTTAAAGGCAAAATTTCTGTCAGCTTTATAAGAATCAATTAGCAATCCAGATGTGGCTAAAAATCTCTAATGCATTGCACCAAAAAAGCAAGTCTTTCTTTAGGTCTTCTAGGCTCCCTCCTAAGACCAACCAATTAAAAAAGATGCACCAGCAAAACTGTTTTTCAACAAAAAATGTATTTTCAATTAATAGGCAGACAAGGTTCTTTGGATGAATCTGATATCTTTTATTAGACCAACCTAATAAAAGATAATCAGATTCACCCAAACAACCTTGTCTGCCTATGTCCTTAGACCAACACGGCTACAACCTACCCCTGTTTTCAATTAATACATTTTTTATGAAAAAAATTAAACCCTTTGATTTGTCAAAAAGCAAATACCCCACAACTGAAACATGATTTGGAAATGCTGCTGTAGTGCCATGTGGGCACAGTATTTTGGCTGCCTCACGTCTCCCTTCTCCTCAGTGGGTTCAGGCTTAGTTCTCATGATGGGACTGTTCAAGAAGGGACTTTCTAGTGCAGGGATGGGCAACCAGTTTCAGCTGTGGGCCAGCATGACCCACCCTGGGTCAGAGGGACACAGGTACTATGACCCACCCATAGCCAGTGCTCATCCCTATGACAGCATGGGGAAGAGTGCCAGCAACCAAGCGCCCCTGCCACCAAATACTATCAAAGCTCCACATCTGCAGGCTGGATTCAATGGTTTCACAAGCTAGATCTGGGCCATGGGCCATAGGTTACCAAATCCTGTCTTAATGCATCATGGGACATTGTCAGACCCAAGACCCTGACATGCAGAGGTGAATAAGAACCTGAGGTATCTTAAATGCACTGCTGGTGAAGCAGCATTTCCAAAACAATTTTCAGTATTTGAATTAAAATTGGCTCGTAACTGCCAAGTAGGGTTGAACCCATAGCTGTAATTTGGGCCTTGCCAGGGGGCTGGGCTGTCTCCTTTGCAAACAGCCACACGGTCACTGGGCAGAAGCTTCCTGTCCCCAGCACCTGCTGCTTTGGGGGTGGGGGTAGGGTGGGTCAGGTCAGGCTGGGGAGGGGAGCTGGCTGCTTAGCAGCCAGAGCTGCTGCTGCGGTTGGCGTTGGTTTTCAGGGGGTAGCTGCAGGCCAAAAGATAATTCTCCTTCAGAGGGGCTCCCTACAGGCTGGACAGGACCCAGCCTGCATGCCATATTTTGCCCATCCCTGATCTAAAGTTTAAATAAATAGCAATGCAAAGCACAAGGTGTATTCAGAATCTCACCTCTGAAGCTTCAGTGTCAGACTCAGGGCTGCAAGGGAGGAGCTTCCTTCACAGCAGGACCAGCTGCATGAATCATAAAGCCAAACCAAAAACAGCATTAAGGGAGGCTGGCACTACAATAGCAGGGGGAATCCTGGGAGTCCTAGCAGATGCAGCTCCAAACTCTCTCTGGCTAAGGATGGCCTAAAACCCACTTTATCCATTCCTCAGGCAAGCAGCCAAACCACCAGGACCACCAGGCAAAATATGAGTGAGTGCCTTCTGTTTAGTCATTTCCCAGCACTGATTTGAATTGTAGCAGGATTTGGTGGGAGTAAGGCACATCAGCAGCCAATCATGGTCATTTCTGAGCACAGCAGTAGCCCAAGTCAAGGTGTCTAGGCATCTCTTTAGGCCGCAATGAGGTATAACTTGTTCTTTCCGACTTGGGATTTAGGTGGATTTCAGGTATCTAAATCCTGTTTAAGTGTCTGGAGGCTGATCAGCATCTGGTCCATACCCAGAGTTACTTGCTAAAGCCAATTATCTAAAACAGGGCTGTCCACAGCTCCCCTAGGCTGCATGTCACGCATATGCATAGGCACTCCCCTTCTAGCAATGGTTGGGTGGGGGTGGAGGGTGCTACATGTTAACCCCTTGTAGGCTGCATGCAGCTAGGAGGACAGCTGAGATGTAAAACAAACTACAGTTTACAAGCTACTGTTTCTAGCTAATAAACTTGGCAATTTCCTTACTGTGAATTTGTCTTAACACAAAGACTGCGTTAGGAATGAGCTTGGAGCTTGCTCTTTTATTATATTCTTCCAATGTTAAACTAAAAGGTAAATCCAGTAGGTGGCACTTGAAACCACCAACGCAGCAAGATCCCTTATTTATAATGATGGAACACCATCCAAATGCTTTTCTATCATCGTTTAATTTCCACAAATGGGCAGTGGTTCAAAAGGTATTGTCTATTAGATGTGACAAACAAAAAATGAGCAAGAATGACATGCAGGAGGAAAGAAAGGATGAGTGTTACTGAAGGCATGGGCCTAAACTAACTCTGATTATACTATTTAGGAGCACTCTTAAAATGCAAGAAAAAGGTAAAAAATCCAGACAATGAGTATTATTGATTTACTTGTTAAGAGTTTCCATTAAAGCTAAAATGACAATGGATATGTTGTGAGAAGCTTTGAAAGCACGCCTGAGACAAGGAAAACAAGTTTCAGTAAATCAGTACACCAAACATTGCAATTACAAATGAGATGGGAGGTAAACAATAAGAAAAGGTGTTCAAAGCAAAACAGTACCACCATTCCATTCCTATATAAAATCATTATGCTGAGAATGATTTTAGTGCAATAGAAAATTATATACAGAGTTATAAAAATCTAAAGAAATATAAAAAGAGAGCTTTATAAAATCCAGTGTATTTCAAAAGTTGTTTTTTTAATCTGTTTCTGCTAAGAGTCCACCACAGGGACATAGTTCCAAATGCAAGAAAACATTCCAGATGAAGCACTTCTTGAATTTAAATTGTTCCTGTTTTTGATGGCTTTCTTAGCTTATTCTGAAGAGTGTAAACATTTAACCTGCATATGAATATGGAGGGATTCCTTTCACCCCCAGTCCAGTTACCTAGGGAGAAAAAGAAGGGATAAGTACGACAACTCATGGCTCCAAATAATTAGCATTTTTTCCTTAATTAGAATACATTTGTTCTAAAAAGACATCCAATTTGTCAACCTTGTCATAGCCCACCACTAGCTGCTGATTTCAGCCCAGTATTTTTCTCCCCAAATGCTGTAAATTGTAAGCCATAGTCCACTCTTGTGACAGCCTCTTCGCACACAAACATGGCCTTGAGTACAGTTCAATGTTTTGGGTGAGGGCTTTATATTCACAAGGTACCAAGAGTCTTTAAGAGACTATTAAGTTATAGATAACTACTGAGTAGATAAAAGTAAGTTATTTTTACTTGTCATTGATTCAAACAACTTTTTGCCCTCCTAAAAATGCAAGTTTTTAGAAATTGGGTGTGTTGGTACAGAAAAAAAAGTTTATTATTTCCAGAGATATCAAGACTGATATAAAATTAGAATTACTGTACCGTGCAGATGTGAAGAGCCTCACTGATTTCTAAATACACTGGACATAATTAACATTTTTTGGCCCCTGCTACTGTCACAATCAAGAGAACCATGATTAATAGTTTTAAACATGGTTGATATTTGAACTAACCCTCCTTCCCAACTGCCTTGACATCTAAAAAGCAGGAGGCGACAAGGAAGGGATAGCAATAAACCACTCTGTCTTGGCTTCTTAAATGAATGGATCACCTTGAAAATGCCACCAGCCTGTGGTTGTCTGGAAAGCCACTTGTCATCCATTCCTTGGCAAGCAGAAGTCACATACATTTCTGAATAATCATTTCCACCAAAACAGCAAGAAGTTGTCTTGTCAACAGGCAGCTTCACTGTCTGGAGTCTTTTTCCTGGACAGGGTAAAAAAAACACCCACAGATGAACAAGCAGCTATTTGTTAAATCTCTGTAGGTAATAACTGCCAACAGCCAGTGTGGAGCCACATACTGCACAGAAAAAATAAGAGGGGCAGAAGGGGCACATGAGCTGTGTTTTTCCAGACTGATCTCATGGGAGTAGGCAGGATCCTGAGTTCTTTCACTGTCTTCTGTCACTGCTCACATACCATCTGACAAGTCACTCCTCCGCTACTGAAAAATGGCCCTGCTTCCAAGCACACTGAAATGAAAGGAGTCTTACCAGTGACTTCAACAGGTTTTAAATTAGGCCCATATATATTTAAAAAAGAGAGAGAGAGAGAAGATAATGCTCAACTATAATCTGTAAAACACTCAAGCCTATTACAGAACATGCTGTAGCATTATTATTTCAATGCAGGAACTGCCAATCCATTGGTCCATTTAGTTAAATATTGTGTGTCCAACAGTGAGCTGTATCAGATGCTTCAAAAGATATTTCAAGAAACCCTATAATAAACAATTATGGGTAAACCTGCTCACAGAACAAAAAAATCTTCCTACCCCAAGCAATAAATGTTTGTACTATGCCCTAAAGTCTAAGGATTTAAATCATTATGTATTTTTAACGCCGTTATTTACAACAACCTCTAATTCTTTTTTGGAATTCCGCTGAGGTCCCAGGCATTTGAGTTTTCTTAAAATACATTTACCCTCCCTGGCCTCCTACTTATACTGGTAAAACAGAATGGTTCTCCTGCAGGTAGAAATAATGTATGCAATGGTGTACTGAAAAAAAAAATACAAAAACCCAGGGTAAAACAACATATTGTGAAATATATCATGAATAAAAAGCCCTAGGCCCCTTGAAATCAGAGGTTTGCTATCAACATCAAAAGATAAAGGCTTCACTTAAGGTGTTTGTTTAAAACAGACTGCTTTAACTTTGCTATCTGAGTTACTAAAATAGTTTACAATTGAACAATTAAGTTCAACTACAGAAAGGATGAGCAGGATTTTCCTTATTGCACCAACATACTTTGCAAAATCCTTTGTTACAAGATTTAGTTGCATTAAAAATGGCCTTGACATTAATCTCCAAAATGAAGATGATAACAGGTTTGTTTCAGAGCTGGAGAAGGAGTTCTTGTGTATATTCTCAAATAAACCAAACAGTTTGGGAAGTACCTGGGATTCCTTGCCCTATACAATGAATTAGCAGTTCATAATACCTAAAGAAAGCTATGCTCAGTATTTATAAGTTGAAGCAAATTTCAAAAGTGAGTCCTTTGAAAGCCCAGGATGTAAATTAGCATACTCAATAAGAACAGTAAGACATTTCGCTCCTAATTAAAGAGTTTGATATTATAAATGTAACGGTGAGGGAAGAGGAGATAGACCCAGTGGGTGTGTCCACACATGGAGCTATGTCACCATAGTGAAGCGCTACAGTGACATAGCAAAGCACTACAGTGACGTAGCATCAGAGGGCACAAACTGATGTGGATACTACATAAATAAGCATCTTAGCTTCCTTATACAGCACATATTATTACAATCCTATTGTAGCTTGATTTGTATGCCTTTAAAATGAGAACTGAGGAGAGAACCTTTAATATACTACCCAAATAACTCAGGTGCCTAACAAGCTTTGCTTGGAAAGAAACCAAAATATGTAAGTTTTGTTATCTCCTGGGAGATGTAAGAGGCTACCAATTAAAATGGTTTGGTTTTGCATGCAGAGGCCAACAAATGTAAGAAGTTATAAATTCAGTTGAGTTATGCCATATGTCTTTGTCTGATGACAAATACAAAGTAGTAGTTTTGTCACCAAAATTCAAATGTTATCATCAGCATAAACCTGACCATACCTGTTTCCCCCTGACATCTACTGCTTACATTAAATGCCCAGGTCTTCTCCCTAAATAGTTACAATTACTTTAGAATTGAGCAATATGGATAGAATTACAATATTCCTTTAAATGTGTACTGCTTAGTAATTTTCAAAATAAAATTTTATCTTCTATTAACCTTTATTAGATATCTGTGAAATTCCTGAGACTTAACTAAACTTGAGGCAGACCTTTCAATCCATAAAGGCACAAGTAG